GGGACCGTTTGTCACCCTCTCGAGCCCAGCCGGGGGGAGTTCGGGCCAAAGATCATGCCACGAGGAGGATAAAACCGCCGGGCTGTGCGAGCCTCGCTTGCACGCCTCCAGCTTCAGCAAGTCCGCGGCGCCATGCGGCTCCAAACGGACCTGCCCGGAGCACCGGGGGTCAGCCAGGAGGCCCCAGCATGGACCCGGAGCAGCTTGGCACGGTCCCTGTGCCCCTCAAGCACACGTACGCCACCGCTTCCTCCGAGCCTGACTCGTTGGTGTTGGCGGCATCGGGTTCAACCCAGCTTGAGGTTACAACTAGCGCTGGTGGCGGAGGCAGAGACCTTGGCCGCAACGTCGGCCCAAGGGCCGGAGGAGTGAACGCACGGAGGGGACCGCCAAAATCTGTTGCTGCCCAGGAGCAGAGGGAGGAGAAAAGACCCTGGACCGGCAGGAGTGCATCTGCCGGGCCGGGAGAGGCGGGCAGCGTTGCAATTGCTGAATGGTTGAAATTCCCGAAACAGCATTAACCTAACGAGGCCAGAGAGACCAGTTCAAAAAGCAAGGACCAAGGGGAGCCGGATGAGTGACAGCCGCCCGCCGCCGCCCGCGCTCCCGAGTGAGCGCCGCGCGGCACTGACCTGCTCCGAGCACATGGAGTTCATCCCGGGCATCTGCAGTGAGTTCATCTGCATCTGTCCCGTCATGGGATTCATGTTCTGGACGCTGGTGTTTCCTCCCGCCATGGACACGGTGATGCTCATGTTGTTGTACATGCCCTGCTGAGCAGGCGCCGGCTGGTTCTGCCCGGCTTGGCTGAATACGCTGTTAACCGAGAAGGAAAAACGGGATTACGCATGGCAGAGGCGGCACTCAGGTGTCCTCCAGGGCTCGTGGATGCCTGCTGCTCAGGGCGGGATTAAATACACGTATCTGTCCCTGGCTGCTGCTTTGCTCGCAGGACATACCATTCCCCTTCTGCAAAAGCTCTTGGGCTTTACCAGGAGACGGCTTGCCCCCAACAATTTCCCCCACCAGGCAGAAATTCTCCGCCGAGGGAGACAAATAGCCCTTTATTTTTTCGTCGCAAAGGCCTGCAGTCTCTTAAGGAGAGCAACTCCCAAACCCTCTGGCTTGGGACCTTTTTCTGTCCCGCTCCCAGCCCCAAACGCAGCACAAACAGCCGAACCGCTGCCAAGCACGTCGCGGCTTGGACCTGCCATGCTGCTCTAACCTTATTTCGGCCACCCGGAAGCGGCAGAGCGGAGCTGGCGTGGCAGCCTGCTTGAAGCCTCAAGGTATTTATTCTAAAATACAGTTTATTAAGCGTAGCAATCCTGGAAGGGAGAAAAAGCTGGACAACGAAGAGGTGCTGGGCAGAACGAGGCTCAACTGGCGCGGGGACTCAAAGAGCCCGAGGAAACCCTGGAGACACGGCGACTTGCCGCCTGCTCCTGCCGTAAACAAGACTCACCAGCATGATGTGCTGGGCTGGTGGAGGCAGAGCACGAGAAACAACGGTGCCAAGACAGGACACTACGGCAGGAATCCAGGCTGGACGCGGGACCAGTCTGGAAAGGATGCCGAGCCCCGGGCCACACGACACCAAGCTCTCACCGAAAGGTCTCCCCTTCGGCACTCCTCCGTGTTGCCCTCCTCACTGCCTGACCTTCCCGATGTCTGCTTGGACGACAGGGGCGACACCTCTCCATCGAAGGGTGAGGTGGAACAGCCCTGCCTTGAATAAAGCTCCCACGTATCGCAGGCAGCACAAAAACCTCCTGCTAAACGCTGCCTGACCCAGGTCAGCTGGGCTGCGCAGCTACAGGCAAGACACCAAGCAGAGCATCTCACAGCTGACGGTTTGGGGAGATTTTCTTCCCATTTCAGGCTCAAACATGAGCGGACACGGGAAAGGCAAGGAGTCTGGTGATTCCTCCCGTTTGCTTGCCTAAGTCAGAGCTGGATCTGGATAAAGCTTTGCTCAAGAGGCACCTGCGTGGGCCATGCCGTGACCTGGGCCTGCCGAGCCAGGGTAACTGCAGGCCATGACTCCATTTACTGTCACCCTTCCCAAGTCCATTCACTTTCACAAGACCTAATCAAGCCGCCTGTCTAATTAAAAACCGAAGATCTGCTTCACGTCTTGCTCATCGACACGTCCACTTAGTCAAACGAACGTGCTGTGGACTTCTGGATGTCATGGCACGGGAACAGGATCTGAGATCGGCACGGGACCTTGCACGCTGCCCCGCTAACAACCTACAAGGTGACCGGCACCTTGGTGGTCACCTTCACTTCCTCAGCTCTCTGCATGTGCCTGCACGAGCCTGCACGTGCCAGACTCTCCCACCTCCGCATGCAGCCTATTCCAACGCTGGACCATCTTACTTGTTATTCCCCATCGTTCCTTGCTGCCAGGTCTTCATGTCAGGCGACTGGTAGCCTGGTGTCGGTGGAGCCGGCTGCAGCATGGGGCTCTGAGACGGAGGAAGCTGCGGCGACATCAGGGGGCTGCTGGGGCTGAGCGACGGGGTGAAGGCGGGCTCACTTTGCTGGCCCATGCCTGGGGGAGGACAGACCGCGTCACCACCGCCGCACGCAGGCCCCCGTGCTGTCCACGCAGTGGAAGGGGCTGACCCCATCACGCCTCGTCTCCGTGGAGGCTCACGGGACCCCCTGCCGGCACCCACCCGTCCCCCCGCAACTGCTGGCCTCGAACCACAAGCATCAGCCTCGGCTTTCACTCGGGGAGTTTCTGGTTTTTATTTCTAGCAACCATATCACTCCAGTGCAAATATTTCAAGGAGGAAGGTGCAAGGGAAACCCCCACAAAGTGGTTTCTGTCGGCAGGTGTTTCTCTTTCCTACCACACCTGGATGGAAAACTGCCAAAGCAACGGCAAGAGAATGCCAGCGGTGGCTTTCAGCTGGCTGCCCTGGGGCTGCTGCAGCCACAGAGCAGTTTTCTCTACTCATCAATTACGTGCACCTTGCTGAGAGCCTGCACGGAGGCTGGAACGTAAAGATTTTCGAGCATCTGACCTAGTGCCAATGCAACGGTGCTCATCGGCACGCGGTCCTGGGCAAGCACACCCATTTATTCAGAGCTGCGTGCCCAGGTCTGTGCCAAAGAAACACAAGCTCTGCCTGCAGCCCATGGCAGACATCGCGGCAAGGATTTGGTCTTTTCCAGGGCGCACACATTTAGGAAAGTGCAATTTAGAGGACTGCTTTGCAGTTCTATTTTCAAAGAAAGAGAGAGAGAGAGAGAAAAAGTAATTATTTGCCCAAATGATATCTTTTTTGGAGATTCAACTGGAAAAGGTCCACTGGGGACATGGAGACTGGAGACCAGGACCCCATGCCAGAAAGTGCGTTAGGCAAGTTGCGTGCCCTCTGTGAACAGCCCTGGTATGGCCAGAAGACCATGGCAATGGCATCAGAGCCGGGCTCTGTCCATGCTTGCCCAGACCCTCATGAGCCACAGCTGGGCCACTGCCTCTGCCTCCACCGCGGGACCACTCTCCAAGGAGAGCAGATGAAGCCAACTGCTTAGTTTTACGTAAAACCTTCTCCTGGTGGTGCTTAATCAAGTTGTGCGATTTTCTGGAATGCCTTTGCTCATGGACTGCGTTTCTCCTGCCCTCGCACGTGCAAAGGCCACGCTTCCCTCTGCCAAAACCCTCCAACCGAGGACGCGGCCGTGAGGTGGGTCGTCACCTCCAGCTCAGCGCCAGGGCTGTCGCACGAGCAAATCCGGCACCCAGAGCAGCACACAACAAAGCCCGTTTCCCAAGGCTGCCCCCACTCCAAGGGCACTGCCAGCACCTACCTGATCCCGAATACTGGAAGATGTTCTGCTGCATCTGGGGGGTCATGCCGGCGCCAAACTGCCCGCCGACGTTGCCCATCATGCCCCGGTTCACCATGCTGCTGCGGTTAGCCAGCGCCGCCTCGGGGTTGGAGGCCAGCTGTGAGAAGGGGCTGGTGGAGGTGGGCGGGTTGCCTGGGTTCGTACCGTAGCTGGGGGGATAGGGGAACTGCTGCGGGGGCGCCTGGGGCAAGCGGGCCGTCCCCATCTGTACGGGCAGCCCGCCCGAGGGCGGCAGGTTGTTCCCAAAGCGCTGCTGCCTCATCAGGATGGCTCGCTGCTGCATGAGCTGCCTCTGCCGGTGCTGCTGGCTGTAGAGGTCCCGCTGGCGCTGGGCCAGCATCTGGGCGTTGAGCGGAGGCTGCGGAGAAGCAGGTGGATGCCCTCAGTGGCCGCGGCCGCCCTCAAGCGCTCGGCCTGCTGCGGTGCCCCCACCGCTCGCAGTGGGACGCCCCAAAGGCCCCTTCTTGCGCCTTGTATGGCAACGGCTCTCACTGGCCTGCTGAGGTTCAGCGCCCACCACCTCAACGCTTTTGACCAGGAGCCGTTCAAAAAACATCCCGCAAGAATTTTCTTCCTGACGGGCTCATTTCCCATACGGCTGAACCAGATGGGAAGGAATTAACCACCTAGGAAAGCTTCAGCATGGCAAGCGCGAGCTCGACAAAGCTTGCAGCAGCCGAGAGCGGGGCCATGATGGAAATGGGCAGGTCCTCTTTGCTGGAGCTCATATTCCCGACCGAACGCTACAGACATCGTGACGCTTAATAAAATTCAAAGGCTTCTTGGAGGAACGGAATGAAGTTACCAGAGCTCAGCTCTGCTTTCCAACCTCTCTTTGTACCGACCAGATGTTTTCTCTGCTCTACTAGAAGCGAAGCAGAACTTTAGGGCCTGAGAATTTGTAGGATCATTAAGAAGATTCACTAGAGATGCTGGTATTTAAAGGACCGCATCTATTTCCCAAAGATGCTTCTCCATTCAACACCTTAGCATGCTCATCTCTAAGCAATCACAGAATCACAGAATGGTTGCGGTTGGCAGGGACCTCTGGAGATCATCTAGTCCAACCCCCCTGCTCAAGCAGGGTCCTCTAGAGCCTATTGCCCAGGATCGCGTCCAGGTGGGTTTTGAATATCTCCAGGGAAGGAGACTCCACAACCTCTCTGGGCAACCTGTGCCAGTGCTCAGTCACCCTCAATAATGAAGTATCTCTACCTTATCCAGGTGGAGATGCTGGAATAACGCTGGGGAAAACACGGCAGCTTTAGAGAAGCTAACCTGAAGCTGCCCGTCTCACGCGGAGTAGTTTTTCTCTCCTGTTAACAGAGCGGAAGGAGCCCCGGCACGCTAGCAGGCGGGCAGCGCCAGTGTGGGGGCTAAGACCCCATCTGCCCAGCCCAAGCCCAGCGCTGCCATGCCCTTACCTGGGGCGTCATCTGCTGCTGCATGCCTGCCCGCATGTTGATGCCGACCGGTGAGTTTGCTGCAAACTGGTTGAGGATTGCCTGCCGATTTTGATGGATCAGCTGAAGAGCGGAGAGAGGGGAAAAAGAAAAAAATCAGGAAGACCTTAAAGCATTTTTGCTCGCTGCGGTTCAGACTCGGCCGCTTCAGGAGTATTTCTCCCCCTCGCTCATTTGCGCCTACAGGGCTTCCCACCCGCAAGCCATCTGCAGTCCCCTCAACCTCCTGCAATCGCACAGTGCGTGTCGCAGGGCCATGGCCGGGACAGCAGATCCCTCCCTGCCCACATCCCTGGCCTGGCCAGGACAGCAGATCCCTCTGTGCCCATGTCCCCAGACAGGCTGGGACAGTGGATCCCTCTGTGTCCATGTCCCAGGACCAGCTGGGACAGCAGATCCATTCGTGCCCATGTCCCTGGACTTGCGAGAATGGCGGATCCCTCCATGACCACACCCCTGGACCAGCCAGGATGGCGGATCCCTCCGTGCCCACGTCCCTGGCCTGGCCGGGACAGCAGATCCCTCTGTGCCTATGTTCCCAGACTGGCCAAGACGGCAGACCCCTCTTTGCCCACGTCCCCGGGCTGGCCAGGACAGCAGATCCCTCCATGCCCATGTCCCCGGGCTGGCCAGGACAGCAGATCCCTCCATGCCCATGTCCCCCAACTGGCCAGGACAGCAGATCCCTCTGTGCCCATGTACCAGGATCAGCCAGGACAGTGAATCTCTCTGTGCCCATGTGCCCAGACTGGCCAGGACAGCAGATCCCTTCATGCCCACATCCCTGGACCAGCCAGGACAGCAGATCCCTCCATGCCCATGTCCCCTAACTGGCCAGGACAGCAGATCCCTCCATGCCCATGTCCCCCAACTGGCCAGGACAGCAGATCCCTCCGTGCCCATGTACCAGGATCAGCCAGGACAGTGAATCTCTCTGTGCCCATGTGCCCAGACTGGCCAGGACAGCAGATCCCTCTGTGCCCATGTCCCCAGACTGGCCAGGACAGCAGATCCCTTCATGCCCACATCCCTGGACCAGCCAGGACAGCAGATCCCTCCATGCCCATGTCCCCCAACTGGCCAGGACAGCAGATCCCTCCGTGCCCACGTCCCCAGACTGGCCAGGACGTCAGATCCCTCCGTGCCCACGCCCCCAGACTGGCCAGGATGCGTTACCTGCTGCTGGCCCTGGAGTCGCTGCTGCAGCTGAAGTCGCAGCTGGTTGGGGGCCGTCGGGGGCCGGCTGAGGGGCTGCCGGGGCTGCAT